TATAATGACTCAAGCACCAAATATTCCAGGTGAGTGATCTTTTTTATTTATAAATCTATTAAAACTTATTGATAGCAGAGTAAACAATGTTTATTAGCTTTTTTGTCAGTGACTCTTCAGGAAATATCGAGGCTGATTTCTTTACAAATGAACAGAACACAGAAGAGAAAAATAACAATAATGAAAATCACTATTTAGAGCTTGTCATGGAGTTTATTACTTATGTAGATGGGATTAAACCAATCTAGTTTGTTTAACTTAATGTGAAGCTGTGTTCACAGCTGTGTGTAAATAACTCAACGTGTAGGTTGTTGCTTTTCATTGTGTGATGAGTAAGGTGTGGAGGGCCCTGGATTATTGACAAATGTTAACTATTTTATAATTTAACCACGGCAGATATCCTGCACCTGCACAAAATTATATCAAATTAAATTAAAAAGAGCAGAAACCAGAGCTGCATTTGTAGAAAAACTGCTGTCTTCTGGACGACCAGAGGAACTACATGTTTATTAGAAAAAAAAAATATTTGGAAACAAAAATGAAATGCAATACAACTGTTCTGTCCCAGTTCTCCAGTCTTTGAACCTTGCACTCAAACTCTTATGTGCACTTTGACTGAGTGCGCACTTAGGATCAGGGTGCAGTGTGAGTGTTGGGACAGGGCCTGTTTCTGGTATCCAAGTCACCACACCCACTCAGGTTTACTACAAAMACTGCTATCTAGTGCTAGACAATGGTACCATGAAATTAATTAGGGTAAAACTTGACTCAACAATATACAGTATGTATATGTTTGCTTGATCAAATTTGCAACATTTTTTGCATGTAATGTTTTGAACAATTTTTTGTTGTTTCATACATAAAATATAAAAATCTGTATGTGGGGACTTCTGCTGCTCAGTGGTAGGGTGGCTGTCTTTGGACCAGAAGGTCACAGGTTCAGTTTCTCATCATGCCCACAGTTTGCAGGGTCTTTGATCAAAACACCTACATGTTCCCCGCTGCACCACCTGTTGTGTATCTCATGTGTGTTATGGGACAGGTTAAATGCAACATCACTTCGTTAAGTTGTGTGTGCTTGAATATAATTTACTAAATAAATATCAAGTTTTACTTCATGTAGTTAACACTTACGTATTGTTTGTATTTAACAAATCTCTTTTCACAAACAGTAGACTATTCATTTTTTAATTGTTCAAAATTTTGAAGAATCTTTTCTGTTACGTTAAATTGAATAAACAAGAAAAAACAGTAAATAAGAAAGTCAAGAATTACCAGAGTTAGATTGTTTATTTCTTCATGAAACTTTTCATTGATGGGAATATACAGCACAGTAAATAGGTCACTCTGTTCTCATTTTAAACAGTGTTTTTCTATCTAAATTATGTTTTATCTCTCTTGACAGGTCTATAGGATCAGCCTCCAGACTTGAGGATTGTTTTAATCGGAGGAAGAGAATTACATGGATTACTCAGTGGTAGAAGCTCAGCTGGTAATATCATACTGGGTCAAAATGTTTTTGATGTCAGCAGAAGAACAGCTCAGAGTGAAGTGAGACAACAGGAAGTACTCAGCAGACATGTCACAGTAGTTGATACTCCTGGATGGTGGTGGGGATATCCACCAGAGAACACCACAAAACTGATTCATATAGAAATCCAGAAAAGTGTCCATCTGTGTTCTCCAGGACCCCATGCTTTTCTTCTGGTCATTCCTGTCAATTTACATTTATCTCATCTTGTCAAATCATCCATAAAGGAACATCTGGAACTTTTCAGTGCAGATGTGTTCAGTCACACCATCGTGTTGTTCACTGCAGATGCTCCATGTAGAGATAAAACTATAGAATTCAAAATCAAAAGAAGCTCAGCACTGCAGTGGATTCTTCAACAATGTGGAAACAGAAAACATGTTCTCAACATCAGGAACAGAGAGGACAGAGCTCAGGTCAAGATGCTTTTTGACAAAATTGATGCAATGATTGAAGCAAACAGAGGCAGATATTATTCTGTTGATGAAGCTCAAGGAAATGTTCTGAGAGAAGTGATGAAGGTTTGGGCTGAAGGAGCATCAGAGAGGTTTGATCAAGTGAAGAAACAAAGAAATGAACTCAGAGCTCTGATTGAAGGTAGGTTACACA